CATGAATTTTGATCAGGATCTACGCTGGTTTTTCCTGCATTCTTCACATTTGCATAAAGATAAGTACCATAAGTTTCGTTCTCTTTTTGCGGCGGCCTGGACGTCTTCATCAGGATAAAATACGCGTGTGTTTTCCAGGCTGTATGCAGGCGGCGGTGCGTTTTTGAAATTCAATGCGTTCGGTGCACAGGCGGTTGAGCCAACTACATACACGCGAACCTGGTGCACGCACTTTTACGAGCCCGGGGTCGCGGAGAGCCGATCGTGTTGTATATCAAAACAGAGGAAAACAACGAAACGTATAATGTCGTTTATGACGTGCGCCGCCTCGTACATTGCATATCAATGCACTATCCGCGCAACTGATACGTAAATACTGTAACATAAAAGCGACGTTCGTCTGTGCATCAGCGGCGGGCCGTATGCGCAACGGGAAAAAATGCAGCATCCGGCACGGAGATGGGAAAACGTTGCGTGCGACACGCATCCTGAAAAATGATCCGTTAAATTTCAGCCGGACGATTTACTATCCCGCAAGACGCGATTACGATGCTTCAAATCGGCCGGCTTTCGTACTTTGACAGAAGTACGCGGATTAGGTATGCACGGTTGTTCGGACAGTAATAGTTGTATTGCGTTTACGATTTCATTTATTTAAGACATTGATTTTTTTATAATTTTGTTGTACATTTTAATGGTCTAAGTTAAGATTATTTGTCAGAGAAACTAGATAGTTGAATATTATTTATAGTTGAATCATATTCAATTGTATTTAAAATTGAATCATATTCAGTGGTATTTACACTTGAATCATATTAAATTACATACAAATTTGAATCATATATTAGATTATATTTAAACTTGAATCATATTCAATTATATTCAAACTTGAATCATATTCAATTATATTCAAATTCAGGTCATATTAAATTGTATTTAAAATTGAATCTTATTAAATTATATGCAAACTTGAATCATATTAAACTATATCTAAATATATTTTAATGATATTCAATTATATTTAGAATTGAATCATGTTAAATTATATACAAACTTGAATCATATTAAACTATATTTAACCTTGAATCATATTCAATTGTATTTAAACTTGAATCGCATTCAATCATATTAATTTAAAATTGAGTCATATTAAATTTTATTCAAACTTGAATCATATTAAACTATATTTAACTTTGAATCATACTCAATTGTATTTAAACTTGAATCGCATTCAATTATATTTAAAATTGAGTCATATTAAATTTTATTCAAACTTGAATCATATTAAACTATATTTAACTTTGAATCATACTCAATTGTATTTAAACTTGAATCGCATTCAATTATATTTAAAATTGAGTCATATTAAATTTTATTCAAACTTGAATCATATTAAACTATATTTAATCTTGAATCATATTCAATTGTGTTTAAACTTGAATCATACTAAATTGCATTCAAACTTGAATCATAATAAATTACATTTAAACTTAACTCAAACTGGAATTTATTTGCCTCCATAATAAAACAAAAGTTGCTTTTAAAATAAACGATAAAATAATGTGTCGATAAAACTATCGGTTCAACATTCTATTTTAAAAACGTTTACATTTGTTCGATAACGAAAGTTTGTTTGAAAAACGTTTAGACTCATGTTCGAGGCTGCGCGTCACGAATCGTGCGACGCCTGGAATTCCAGCGTGTTCATTAGAAATACACGTTGATTAACGAACGCCCGGGTTCGTCATCTCACCGTGCAGCGTATCCTCTCGTGAAATTTCTCCTGCGGTTCGAGTTGAAAACCGATTTATGAATCACGATCGCCGTTTACGATGTCGCAAGCTACGTATCCGGCCCAAGGAGCGACGACGCATTCTGTTCGCGTCTGACGCATGAAATGCCGGTTCACGCGTATTTGGATTCGGCTCGCGGCTGAAACGAATCGCGGAGCTGTGAAGCAGGTCGCGTTTCTATTTCGTTTCGCCCGGCTCCTCGCCTGAGAATTAACTCGCTATTGTGCGATAATTAGCTGGTTGAACGAGAATTTAACAGCACGGTGCTTCCTAATCTGCGAGGGCATTAATCTGACGTTAATGCTTGCTCGGAGTGCTGTTTGTTCGGAGCAGTGGAAATTTTATTTATCTTGATCTTCGGAAAATGCATCCTTTAATGCAGAATTCGTTTACGGTTGATCGAAATGATCGCGTTTGTTAACAATTCTAATTCGCCAATAATTTCGCAAGATTTTGTATAGTCATTTTGTATAGTAATGGAAAACATTGTTGCGTCGGTGAATTTTTAACATTAATTGTTAAATTAATAAAAAATAAATAATAAATTACATATATATAATATAATATAATAATAATAATAATAATATATTATTATTATATTATATTATATATATATAATTTATTATTCATTTTATTATTATTTATATATTTATTTTATTATTCATATATAATAATAATATATATAAATAATAAATAAATTAATGAACGTATATTAATGCGTTTCATCGATCACACTGGGTGCAGACTCTTTCAGCAAGTTTCTCTAAAATTATTCAAAAATTTGTGAAATTTATGAACACGTATAACATAAATTTTAACTTAATTCGTAAGAGGAGTATATTTCCTGTAATATATAAAATTGTCATTTTTTTACGATGTGTTTTTCTTTATACAAATATAAATTAAATATATATATATTTATATTTATTATAATTATATACTTATATTATATATTTATTATATTATATTATTTATAATTATATACAAATATAAATTAAATATATATAAATTAAATTTCTATCTAAATCTATTTGTATAAATTTCTCACCATTTCGTATTATAATATTATGTTGGGGGGAATTAAGAAATTTATCATTTGCTATGAAAAGCCGGTCATTTCGACCGGCTTGTTAAGGTCAGTGTTAAACAATCGTTCAACAAAACTTTCCGATCGTTCAAAAACCGTAAGAATTGAAATGAAAATATGCTTGCAACCATACTCTGGACATGCACCGTGATTAGTGTAGGATTTTGTCGCATTGCGTAGCCTTCCGTGCACATTCGCATGAAACTCGTTCTCCATGCAGATTGCTGGCGCCGAGAGCGCGGGAGATAACGAGGCATTAAAAGTTAATTGATAATTTCTTAAAGATTACTTAACATTAGTTAAGTAATCGTCATCGGTTATCACTTTGCCAAATATTACAGAACAGGAAATGAAAATGAAAAACAGTCTCCCAGCAATTACATAAACTTGATACCGATCGGTACCAGTCAGTTCGCATTCGATTATCGTAATATTACATCATTTCAGTAACATTATATCACCAAACGGAAGAAATACGTACTGAATTAATTAATAGCAATTAATAGAAATCGCAACGAGCTTTTAATCGTATACCGAAGCTACTCGAACGTTCGTCCTCTTCTCTTTAGAAATTGTTCGAAAATAAATCAATTAGGTTCTTAAATTTTTTTCTACACGTTTTTTTTTAACGTTTCACGTTTGATTTACACATTTTCATGATAAAGTTTACGACTGCCGATTTAATGCATTTTTGATACAGATGAGTGAAAACATTTCAATTACTGCCGACAGTTCCTTATTTTACTGAAAAATTCGCACTCCAATTATGACGATAGAAATAGGACGAAAGAGCCATATAAAGCTGGATAAAAATTTCCCAAATTGATTTCTAGAAATAGGAACTAGATAAAAATGTATGTTCTCGTTTAATAATTTTAATACATCCAAAACAGCTTAAATTTGACGGTTATCTATTATTACATACGGTTCATAAATAGATAAGATTAACGATTAACGATTACAACTCGTTCCTTATTATAAATTATTATTATAAGTTACAATAACTTAGTTAAATTATTGTCATAAATTATCGTCACAGGTTATTATTATAAGTCGTTCGTATAAGGTTGTTATAATAAGTTAAAATAAATTAGTTACAATAAGTTAGTTAAATTATTTCATAAATTATCGTCACAAGTTATTATTACAAGTCGTTCGTATAAGTTGTTATAATTAGTTATAATAAGTTAGTTAAATTATTGTCATAAATTATCGTCACAAGTTATTATTATAAGTCGTTCGTATAAGTTGTTATAATAAGTTATAATAAATTATTTACAATAAGTTAGTCAAATTACTGTCACAAATCATTGTCACAAGTTATTATTATTATAAGTAATTCCTATAAATAGTTATTACAATTTATTATGAATTATTATAAATTAGTTACAACAAAGAACGAGTTATAATCGTCGATCGTTAATCAGATTCCTCGTTGCCCAACTTTGCAGTCCAGTTATCCCTGAAAAGCAAAATTAACGTTCGAAACATCTTCATTTATTACTACATCGTATCATCGCGAACATCGCGTCCAATAAATTCAAGAATCGGCGACGTCCCATCGCCGTTTGGCAATCCGAAATCGTCCGGTCGACCGGTGCCAACGGCAATCGTCGTCAGAAATCGTGCAGACATCCGGTTAGAGGTCCTCGAGCAGCGTGCTGGTTGCGGACGGACAAGCGTCACCGGACCAATACTTCCGAGCGCATCTTTCTTCGCCGCGTCAGAGACAGGGCTAGCCTACTTTCTCTGCAAAGAGAATTTTTAACCGCCGTGCGAGGGTTCCCTCTCCCCGTTTTCTCGTCCTGAACGTCGTCCTCCCGTCCCTCCCGTCCCTCCTGTCCTCCTCGTTTCGTTCACCGTCTCTGTTCATTACTCCTGGGACCCCCTCTCTCTCTTGCTCCCTTGCTCTCTCCTCTCTCTTTCTTGCTCCCTTGCTCTCTCTTTACTCTCTCTCTCTCTCTCTCTCTCTCTCTCTCTCTCTCTCCCTGCTCTCGGCTCTCTCTTTCTCCCGAGCGCGCGGTGTCTCGTTTCCTCAATTTACTCGGCAAGCTCGGCTCAGAGAATTCCTTCGACCGGGTACCCCTCTCAGAGTCTATATAAACGTGGTGCACATACGAGACTGAGCATTTTTTGTGTTAAGTAGTGACGGAGTCGTAGGTCTCCTCCGTCGAACGTGGCTCCAGGCTCGAGCAGTGTCAGGATGCTGTTGTGGGCCGCCACGTGACTCGGCCAATCCGTGATCGTTCGAACGAAAGAAACAAAAGAAAGAAAAAGAAACAGAAAAAAAAGAAACCCGGAGAAAACAGCATTATTGGTAGCCGATCTCGAAGTGACGCGAAACGTTAGACCAGGCCGTGACACCGTCGAAGACAGCCGCAGAAGTGTCGTTTGATTAGTGTGCAAGTGCGGTCAACGGATTGCGTGCGTGCATCATGCTAACGAGCAAGGTAGGCGAGCTTGGATCGCTCTTCCTTTTACCGTTTCTTTCTCACCTTTTTTTCTCCGCCTCGACTTGTCCTCCGCGGCTGGTGCTCGCCTACGTCGAGCGCAAGGCTGCGCAGCCTCTTGGCTCGTTAACGATTTGGACGCGTGTTCGGGCATTAGGGGTCTGGAGATTGGTTTCGTGAGAGATCGTGGCGACCTTCGGTAGATGGATAATAGTTCACTTGCGCGCGGTATTTACAGGAAATTCTTCCTAATTTTCCTTCAGCTTGTAAACAAAGCTGGACGATTCGAGCGTTGCGCTTCGTTTTTATAATTGTTGACAATCGGCAAGTATATTGACGAGCCGCGAGGCTCGGATAGACGTATCTTCTCTTCCCAAATTGTGCATTTTTGTTTACAAGTTGAAGGAGAATTAGGGAGAGTTTACTGTACTTGAATGTGTACAGCTATGAGCAGTCGAGTAGACCGGAATCAGAGTGGCGCGAGTCACAGTTTCCTCGTTGTGAGAAACAAGGAGTGTCATTGTTTATCGAACGCAATTCAGGGTTGAGTTGATTTGCAGTAAATCTATAATTTATGTTTGATTTTGGAATCGGTGGATTACGTTTTAAGACGTAAGTCGAAGTTTTAAAAAATGTCATTAACACCGCTATGATTCTTCCCAAATCGTCAATTTTTTATTTCAAGCTGAGGGTCAATTAAAGAGGATTCACTGCACTTATAATAAAATGTTTATTCAAAGTGAAAATGAAATGAGTAGAAATTAAACTAGTAGAACTGGAATGAATAGAAATTATACTAGTAGAACTGGGATGAGTAGAATTTATACTCGTAGAAATAGGATGAGTAGAAATTAAACTACTAGAAATGGAATGAGTAGAAATTAAATTAGTAGAACTGGGAAGAGTGGAAATTAAATTAGTAGAACTGGGATGAGTAGAAATTAAACTAGTAGAAATGGGATGAGTAGAAATTAATAATAACATAATATAATCTAATATAATATAAAGTAATTAACGCCTTGACGTCCCGTCATCTTCATAATTGAAACAAGTAGAAACTTTTCGCGAAGGAATATATATTTATTGTGTGCCTACATTAATTTGAATATACAAATATTAACGTCAAGGGAACAGAATTCCGACACAAAAGAATGTTATCTTGTATAAACGACATATACAAATCTAGATTTATTATAAATTTCGAAATGAATAATAAGAGAAAAAATAGAGCCTCGTTTAGCAGACACTGTTAACCGTACTCGTACGAACTACTTTTTCCCCGAAAAATCAAAGTGACGGCGGAGCAATTGATCGACTACTTTCATAGACCTGTCGGGGACGCCGATATTAAGTTCACAAATTGTAGGAAGTTTTTAAGGCGTGCAACGATACGAGATTACGGGTCCGATCCCCGCGAGCCCGTTCGCGGTACACGAGTCTGTCGCAACTGACCGGAAGATCTTGTCATGAGAGCAGAGTTGTTTCGTTGCACGCGCAATTTCCTCCCGAACTGAATCTTGTGAAAAGGGCTCTTAGTTTGTGTACACGATAACCGGCCCCCTGTTTCGCATTATTTCGAACGGTTGTTGGATTAGAGCACTTGTGAAAAGAAAGATTCGGATACCTAATGGACCGTGCGTTCACGGTATAACGGGTAACGCAAAAGTTATGAGGAAGTGCAACCGAACGCTTTACTGGAACGGAAGAAGTTGAACCGGGCTATGGAAGATTGAATTACGTTCGAAAGTAATTAGTTCGAATCGAGGCGCATCCCCGTAAGTTTCTAACTACGGAAGATCGCGCGGCTGTACTTCCTTTTCGAGCATCTTCGACTTCGGAACATTTATCGGAACTTCCTGCCCGTGCCTTTCATCTCTATTACACATTCAGTTTCATGTTGACGCGGGTAATTTATTAATTGGCAGCGTGCTTCGTGGAAAAATTGAAAAATTACGTGGAAATAAGAATATCATTTGTGATACATTATTATGTTCACGCTAAACCTACCAAGCTAGTAATACTAACTGGCATGTACTGCTTCACAAAAGTGAGAAGACCGAATTTATTTAGAATTTGTAAAGTTTTTATTATAAAACTTGCTCCAATAATATAACTTATTCGAAATAAGTTATATTATAATTTTCGGAATTGCAAAATAAGAAAGCGGTCACTTTGACCGCGGTAGGTTTAGTGTTAAAGAAAAATGTACTTGTCGGCAATGAATAGGATTTATGAATTAGTGAGAAAAACGAGTAGGCCAAATGTGGAGCAGCGAGTCGATCAGAATTGAACGTCGGAATATATTTTTCTATTTCTAATATATTTATTATTCATTATATAATATTAATATTATTCATTATATATAATCTCAGTATTACTATTTTATTATATTAAAATTTCCACGTCCTTTGCGACCGATGCGGACAATTTTTATTTTCCACAAAAAACTAGTTTGGCAGTGAATATTAACCCCTTACCTTGTACGCTCGAGTTAATTCGAGCGCGCTAAACAGGCCAAACAGTGCACACTCGAAATAATTCGAGCGGCGTTGTATTTTATGCTGCTATAATTTTTCACACTCGAATATAATCGAGAATTGAAAATAACAATGTGAAAGCAAAGAAAAAAAATCGTTTTTTTGATATTTGTCATTTACATGGGATTGTAAGCTAACACTTATTTATTCAAGAATAAAATATAGCCTTTTTCCATGGAACAATATATAATATTAATATATCATTATAATTTATATAATATTATATATTATATATTATTATTAATATTATAATATTATAATTATATATATTTATATTATTATATATTATATTATATATTTATATAATATATCATTATAATTTAATATTAATATTATATATATCAAAATTCTTCAAAAAATTTATTTTTTTTTGGCCGGATTTTTTCAAGAAAACTGTGCGCTAAGGGGTTAAAGAACGCCGGGGTCCGTCCGGACGACAACGGAGTCGCTGATGCGAACGCACCGTTCCTGACAGACGTAACCCAGACATTTGCTTACCGATTTACTGGTTTATTAGGTAACTGTGCTATTGTAACAAATAATGCGGCGAAAGGGAAAGAGATCGATTAGCTTTACAGTCGGATTGATTACCGCGGAATTGTTCAAGCATGACGGTGGTGAACAAAAGCGAAACGGCACGGATCAGCGGGAACGACGTTTTGAAACGGTAGTAAAAATTTTACTCCTCATCGAGCGTCGTGTTAGCTGTGGACGGTGTTACAGTGTCATTGGACGCTGTTGCGTCGGCGTAATGAGGAAAAAATAAATCCGATGGAGGTAATTACTTTTTGCTGTTCGTTTTCGTTCGGGGAACATGGAAAGCAGCAATTTTCATTTGATGCCGGCGCGATCGTCCGGTAATTGCGTGCGTGACGGTATCAATGGAACGCGAACGAGAAAAAAAAATGAACGGAGATTGAGAAAATTAAAAGTAGTTACGGAACTTTTGATTCGGCTTTTTGTAGAGCTGAAGGCCGCGCGGCGATTGTTCCGGCGCCACGATTAGAGATTTCGAGGCGCATTGTGCAATCGCCAAGAATTTTCCAAATAACTATCTTCTGCATCAATGCTTGAAATGTTAATAAAATATTGTCAAGTGAAATGAAATTGAATAAACAGAAATGAAATGAGTAGAAATTAATTAAGTAGAAATTAAATGAGTAAAAATTGAATGACTAGATTTTGAAATGAGTAGAAATTAAACTAGTAGCAATGTGAAACGAGTAGAAATTAAACTAGTAGGAATGGAATGAGTAGAAATTAAATTGGTAGAAATGGAATGAGTAGAAATTAAACTAGTAGAATTGGAATGAGTAGAAATGAAACTGCTACAAATAGAATGAGTAGACATTAAACTAATAAAAACGAAACGAGTGGAAATTAAACAAGGTGATTAGAAAGCATCATCGTCCAAAGCAAAATTTATCGTACAAAAAGATGCGCATCCTCGACCGTCAACTGCTACAAAACATTCCAGGAAGAATGGGACAAAGGTTGGAAAGACAGCGGTGATAGCAACTTTTTTTTTGCCGTAATCGGTACAGAAAGTCGTCGCCAATTTTCGTGATCTGCGACAGTTGTGCAAAAGATTTAGAAAGTACGTTCCAGAGAATTGACCGTACAAATGGCACGCGGTATTTCTCTTTTTAGAAATAAGAAACTTACGACATTGCAACAGCATAATCGACAGGCGGATAAAGCGATGCACGCAACGACAAAAGATCACTTGTACGGCAGGCGCCGCGGAAAGTATGCGACATGAAACTTTCCGAAAATTTCTCGTTTTCGCAACATCGTTGAGCAATTTGTACGACTGAAAAAATTCAAGTAAACTTATTGAGGATACTCGAAAACGAAATCGGAGCTGAATCGTCCGATAAAACGTCCGATAAGTCGTTGATTAATAAATCTGAAAATAATGTATGCGGCTGGACCGCATTAAATTCGGTTGCTCGGTTCTTGCAGGATTAAGCAACGGCGCGCGAACTCCCTGCGTTGCATCGACATTAATCAAACAAAAGAGAATATATACCGGTGCTCTCGGCTCGCAATATAAACCTCCGTGTTTGCGCGGCGAGTATTTGTTTCGCGGCGAGCGCGACACGCCGTCCCGCTACTGTCGCTCCAATCGTCTTTTCCACGCCGCCGATCGGTTTATAATGAAATCGAGAGTTCAGGCGGCTGAAAATCCAGGAAACAGGCGAACACGTTCGCGCAGAGGAAAGCCGGCGTTCGCACGCGGAAGGGAAAGAAATAAATATCGGCTTTTCCGGCGAGAATCGTATCGCTCAACGAGAACTGGCAGCTACGATCGCATTACGTGCACTCGTCTTGCGCGGCAGAAATATATATGATTATGTATGAACGAGCTGTTCGTCCTAATCGCGTTCCACCCACGGCGATGCGTTCGACGCGAGTGCCACTTATTGCCGATTCTTAGGCTACTTGCCTACGCCGCGCCGCCATGATTACGGATGCGAGTGTGTCAACAGGTTTCATTCGTCTAACGAACGTTACGTAAAATCTGTCTGCCAAAAAGTCTAGCGTTATCCTTTTTTGGGAACGGTCGTGTAGACGAGTTTCACCGGGATCGATTATGTATCGGCCTGGCTGACGACTTTCTATGATATCTCATTTCCCATCGTTTTAATTGCTACAGCTGTACAGACGGATTTTCGTAGATTAAACTTTTGCAGAGATGGAAATCAATATACTCGATATTAACTCAACTCGACTAAATATTAATGCGAAATAAAAATTGTCTGCACCGTTTGTTTCTCTCCTTAACCGCTTGCACTATATCAACGAGTCAGAATCGTGATAAAGATCTTACACGTAATCTATTAAATAGATTATCATTTCTTCTGAATGGAAAATAAATTTGATTCTTCTGTGATCAAAGTGTAGGAACGAAATTAAATGTAGACTTATGAGAAGCAAAAACTGTCTCGTTGTATGAGGTAAATTACTAAAGACGAATAAGTGCTAATTAATAATAAGTGCTGGTTAATAATCTCAATACGTTCAAATTAACGAGTTAGCTGTGGCGCCTCCATTTTAGAGCGCGCACCTATATCTGTCGCGAGAATCAAGCGATGACGAGTATACTCGTCGAACACAGCTAACTGGTTAATGCATCGACGCGCTCGTAGTTTCTTCTAATATTCTCGCTGTCTCAAATTGTTCCTATCTCGTTTTTGAACGCGTCTTACGAACGCGTAAAATCCGCAGTCTAATAGCGACAGCTATCATAAAATAATTAGCAGGTCTGTCGGGTGAAAGTAAAGATCGCGATTCTTCGTGTTCGGGTCGTGTGGGTAGTCTCGTATTGTTTCTAGCCTAAAGCGCGCTTTAGGCGTACAAGGTCATTGCGTGGAGGAAAAAGATTGAAATTTCAGCGATCCGTATGCAAATATTTGCCAAGATAGTCGGCAGTCTCGAGGCTAAGATTGCAAAACTTGCCGCGCGTGAGTCATTCGGATTCGTACGGATTTGTACGAGCACGGTTCACTAATTGAGCCGTTTATTTTGAAAGTGGCATAAGTCACTTCGTTCTTAAGTCGATATATTTAAGGGTCTGCGTTTTAACACGTTTAAAAATATGGATGCTAACTTTCGAGAAGATTTACTTGTATTTGTTATCTCAGGATACCGATATTTTTCTCAGTATAAATAATTTCGTATAAACATTAAAAAATCACCACTTTTCATCACGGTGAAGTGACTTATGCCACTTTCAAAATAAACGGCTCAGTTGTTGACAATCGATAACCATAAAAAATGAGCAACAATGCTCGAATAATCGTATCTCCTCCTCCCGAATTGTCCATTTTAGTGGACAATCTGAGCGTCAATTAGGGAGATATAGTAATGTCTACCTTACTGACGCTCGGGTTCTGTACAGAAATGGACAATTTGGGAAGAGGAGATACGATTATTCGAACCTTGCGACTTGTTTTTATAGTTGAGCCGTTTATTTTGAAAGTGGCATAAGTTACAAGTCGATATATTTAAGGGTCTGCGTTTTAACATGTTTAAAAATATGGATGCTAACTTTCGAGAAGATTTACTTGTATTTGTTATCTCAGGACACTGAGATATTTTTCTCGGTATAAATAATTTCGTATAAACATTAAAAAATCACCACTTTTCATCACGGTGAAGTGACTTATGCCACTTTCAGAATAAACGGCTCAATTATTTCACAAAGTTTGCGTTCTAATTTATTTTCGCGTGCCAACAGCATCGATAAGTGACAGAGGTCCGCTGCAACAACAACGTGGAATTATACCGGGACGCGATTAAATATTAAGCACGACTCGCGCACGACGACTCTCTCGCCTGACGTAGTTTACTCTCGAGCTGCATTTCTCGTGGATGCACTTGAGAGAAAGTACGGGCATATTATGTTAGCCTTGCATCTCGGTCATCGTGCCACTTAAGGCTACCGAGCATAGTTTCTTGACGACGTTTACAACTTGAACCTTTTACGCCTGTTTTTTCGTCCCGTGGCTGATATCTTTCGCGAGAAATTAGCTATCGATGACTCAACGGAGAATCGACAACCTTGTAAAATACAAGCGTCCGCTATTTTTGTGCCGCCTGCACAGATAACGTCCGATAAAAAACATCTCGCGAAGTACGCCTCGCAGATATTCGATAATATCTCGCTTCAGAAATTAACAGTTTTATCGCTTTCGAATATTTCTTCTTAAATTGATAAAATAAACGATAAAAAATTGATAAAAAGAATGAGAATTTTTTATCGTTGGTTCCTCGATGTAAGAGCAGCTCGTCGAATCGCGGCATTGAAAATTCAAAAGTTTCATCACTTTCGAATGTTCCTTATTAAGTGAAAGAGATGCATATATGAGCCGTTTATTTTGAAAGTGGCATAAGTCACTTTGTTTTTAAGTCGATATATTTAAGGATTTGCGTTTTAACACGTTCAAAAATATGGATGTTAACTTTCGAGAAGATTTACTTGTATTCGTTATCTCAGGATACTGATAGTTTTCTCAGTATAAATAATTTCGTATAAACATTTAAAAAATCACCACTTTTCATCACGGTAAAGTGACTTGTGCCACTTTCAAAATAATCGGCCCATATGCAAAAATATGCGAAATTTATTGTCATTGGTTACTTAATATACGAACGGCTGATCGAACGATGGCATTGAAAGTCCAGAAATAGAAATTTATGTTCCTTCGGCCGAATGAACTCTTTCGTGCTCTACTTGCCGTCGCCGAACCGGGCGTACGACAATGAAACAGTGCAAAGAAAAGGTTACTTCTTTAAACATTACACTACACGGCTCCGCTGCAATTATTGAAACAGCTCGCATCCGCGCGCATTCAATACCCGTGCAGAGTGAACGCAAGTATTCACGTACGTACATATGCACCGACTAGTTTGTCTAGCACCGACCGAGGTTGTAAACTAGCTTAAAGTCTCCCACGGCCTTCAATAGGAAACCATAGATAATATGTGCGCCGCGGGAGAGATGCGTACGCAATGTGGAGCCACACTTACGGCCCCGTCGAACTAATTAAAGCGAGGGATGCTATCGGGCCAGTTAGCTGGTTCTATCCGACTTGAAAATTGTAATTTTCTACGTTCGATTGCACTCGGCAGAAAGATCATCGTTTAGGTACTCGTCGAAGCAGTTACGAGAGAGATTAGATGCGTTTAGGATTTAATAAATTTAATAGATAAGTAATAATAATTTAATTTATTTTATTATATATATTTATTATTATATTATTATTATTACTATATATTTACTTATTTAATTATAATAAATAATTTAATAATATAAATAATAATTTTAATAAATTTATTTTAAAAATTCTGAGAAAAAATATTCCGACATAACCCCTTGCACTATAATTTTTTTCTATCTTGAGTAGCTATTCTTCGTTTTAAATAATTACTCTGATAGAACGAGACAATTTTTGTTACTAGTATACCTTCGGTTTCTTTCATTTCCAGATTTTGATAACAGCAGAATCAAATTTTGCTTTCATTCAGAGGAAATTAATAGACGAAATAATATTCGTATTTAACAGATTATATATAAAATCTTGATTCCGAGTTTGGCTCGTTGTCACAGTGCGAGGACTTTTAAGCATGCACAGGATGTCCCAAAATTATGGTATTTCCGGAAAATATGGGGTTCCTGCGATCATTTGAAGTAACTTTCTGCTTTACAGAAATGTTCTCCGAGGCATCGTTAACGAGTTATTAACGAAAAACACTGACCAATGAGAAGCGAGTTCTGCTAGCGCGAGGCGGCCGAGCCAACGAGCGCACGGAGCCCAGTTCCGTTCATTGGATCGGCCGCCATGCGCCAGCTGATCTCGCGCCTCTCATTGGTCACTGTTTTTCGTTAATAACTCGTAAACGAAGCCGCGGTTCGCATTTTCGCTAAGGAAAAAGTTTCTTCAAATGATCTCACGAATCCCTCAGTTCCCGGAAATACAATAATTTTAGGATACCTTGTATATTCACAATAAAGCCTGAACATTCGAAAGAAACTATAGGAAGCTCATCTCCGCAAGGATCGCGCAATAAATGAATAAAAATCAGTGTAAACAAAATTTTGCTTCCCACAATAGACCTCAAAATACTCTTAACCCTTTGCACCCGAAGCCGAATTAACGCAAAATTTAAAATAGCTTTCCCGATCCACAGTTTTTCCATTTTATATGACCTAAAATGCATTTGATGCCTATGAAATTGAATATTGCGATGCGTGCAACAAATACGCTTTCACCAGCTCTTCGAATACAAACAAATTTGATTAATAAGATTATTTTCAGACGTGACGTAACAATTTTTAATGTCGCTTCGGACTCGCCACTCGAGTGCAAAGAGTTAACAATTTACGAAAATTCAGAAGATCGATTCCATTTAACGATACTCAAAGAAAAATATCGTTTATCATTTCAGACGTCGTTTACGTTACTGTGCGTCCTGTTGATTGGACACCAGGCGCAGGCAGTGATCAACAAATCGAAGGCGTCCAGCGGCGAGGAGAAGAAGGAGAACGAGTCTAAGGCGGACGAGAGGATAAGCAACGCGCACGGGCCGCCATTGATCGACTACGGCCCGCCATCTGGGCCGGAGTTCAAAGGGCCAGCGCCAGTATACGGACCCCCGGAACTAGTTGGCGATCAAGGACCGACACCCATCTACCCTCCGCCGCCTCCGGACGTGCCACCGCCAGCCTACGGACCTCCATTGTCCTCGTACGGGCCTCCGCGGATCATCAAACCGCATTTCGGTCCTCCGAAACAGTCCTACGGACCTCCGTTGTCTCTTCCATCGAAGTTGAACTTCGGCCCCGTGAAGCTACACTATGGTCCACCGAAGCAGCACTACGGGCCGCCATACTCGTTCTCCTTCAGGCCGCCGAAGAACCAGTACGGCCCTCCATTGAAGTTCACTTCCGCCGTGTCCAACCAGTTCGCGAGCCTCGCGTCTTCGGGCCCGTCGAAGCCGTCGCATGGTCTCTCGATTCCGCTGTCTTTGGACACCTACGGACCGCCTCAGAAGCTAGCCGTCCAGTTCAGCTCGCAGCCGAGCGACAACTACGGACCACCATCGCTGCCTAACATCCAGTACGGTCCACCTACCGGCGATCTCTACGTCCCTCCACAAACTGGACCGTTCCCAGGAGTCCCGGCGCCACCCACGCCGCCCGACATCAAGTACGACGGCTGGCAACCGATCGCCGGGCTCTCCGGCCAGCACGGGCCGGAGAACTTCGGAGGGTCCTTGGAGAGCTACGGCGCGCCTCTGGAGAACTACGACGCGCCGGACACCGAGCAGAAGACCGTGCATTCCGCGAGCCTGCACGTGGCTCAGAGCGCGTCGAACACCGACGCCGAACACTCGAACGTGCCGAGCGATTCTTACGGCGTCCCGATCCACAATCCCGAAGCCCAGGACCTGAAGAGCTCGGTCAGCTCCGGCAGCAGCGACAGCAACGGCCTGCCGCCGCCGCCGTTGCCGCAGTACGAGCCTCTGCACAATCAGCAAACGCACGCGAAGGAGGAGCATCATCATCATCATCATCATCATCATCCTCAGGTACCGAGCGTGGAGCCGCTGTCCATCGTGAAGACCGTCGGCTTCGAGCTGCTGCCCACGTCCGCTTCCCTGACCTCGGATCATCACGGGGGCCCGCTGCCGGCCCAAAAGCTGCCGCTCGTCGACGCCGGTGCTCAGCTGAACCTCGAACATGCTCACAGCTTCCAGAACATCGGGAACGATCTGTCGCAAGCGTCGCTATCCGGCGGCTACGGCGCCCCGTTGCCGGGCCCGCATTTCGGGAACCTGAACTCCATCGAGTCCGGATTACCTCTGCCACCTCCGCCGCTGCTCGACACCTACGCCGCACCCCCGGCGTCCTCTTACTCCCCTAACGGGCCGTACCCGGCCGCCGAGTCAGGTCGATCCTCGCCTTTGTTCTCGTCGTTCGCGCTCCAGAGCGGCTCGCTCTACAAACAGAATGTTCATCACCATCGTCCTCACGGGTCATACAGGCCGCCCCTCTCGCCGCCCGGCTCGCTGATACCGCCCCGGAACCGGGAGCCAATTAAATTCAAGGAAGCCGTTCCCAGCGGACTTTTAACGAGCCTGAATCGTTACTTACCGGCGCCGCCGTCCCGGCATTACGGCTTCACCAAGGCAACGAAATCTTACGTGCCGGCGTTCTCGTTCGAGCAGCAATTACCCAGCCCCGGTGTCCCGTTAGCTTTCAACAACAAGCTGGCCGGCGGCGCTGACTTCGTCTCGCCGATCGCGGCGCCCAACGCGCACTACGGCACCCCGTTGTCGTTCGGCGACTTCAACACGCCCGCGCCGGTCCCGACCTACGGCGCGCCGAACTTCGGACCTGCCTCCACCTTCGTGTCGACGTCCACCGGCTTCGGGAAGAGCCTCTACGACGGCGTGAACAACGCCATCACCACTACATATGGAACGCCTGTAGGGAACGTCGCGCAGGTCGCTGGTCACGACTGCAGGTTCCAGCAGGGCGCCGGTTCTCAATACAGCGCGCCGGACACCGGGCTCCAGAGCTTCGGCTCCTCCTTTAACGGTCACACCTCCGATCTGTCCAATAGCGTTCTCCTGAAGGTGGAGCCCCTGCAGCACCCCGCCGGCGTCTCCCAGTCGATCAGCCAGCTCAGTCTGGAGCCTCATCAGAAACCGGGAGACAAGGACAGCTACGGGAATCCCGTGAGCGTTGGCTACGTGGACAACGTCCTTTCCAGCGACCACAGCCAGGCGGCTGAAGTAGCCAACGTGATCGCTGCCCCTCCAGCCAGTCATGTCTCCGACGAGTATCATCTGCAGGATGGGATCAGGGCCGAGGCGCTGACCAGCAGCTTGACGGAGCAAGCTTTCGGCCAGTCGAAGCACGCGACCGCCGGCGAGGTGGATGCTAGTCAATTTCTAAATACCCACGAAGGCAGCGAAGCTCTGTCCCTGGCGAAGGGTCTGACTATCGCCAGCGGAGCGGACGGCTTCGAGATCCAGGGCTCCAAGGGCACCTACATGCTTCAGATCCAGCCGGCAGACGGCGGCCTCGGCACCGAGAACTCGGACGGCAGCATCAGACACGACCAAGTCCTGTCCAATGGACTCTTGCAGGACATTCTGGCGGCCATTGAACAGCCCGCTGCAGGCCCGGTGCAGCTCGAAGGTCTTCCTGAAACGCAATCGTTGCAGCACGTGTACAGCAATCTGCTGAACGCCGATGTGCCGAAGGGTCGCTATATCACCGTGGACGATGCCACGAAGAACGTCCAGGAGCTGATTGACCGCGCGAACGACAGGAGCGAGGGCCAGCCGAACGAGGATCGGTCGAAGGAGGCTGTCGCTTTCTTCTTCAACAATCAGTTCGGCGACTCGAAGAAGGAGACGAGGTCGGTTGTGAAAAGTGAGACTGTTGCCGCTTCCGTCGACTCGGGCGCCGGGAAAAGTGCCGACGAGAAGAAGATGAAGAAGTCCTCTTAGGAGAGGAGGCTTCGAGACTTTATCGATGGTAATTTATGAAAGACTCTCGTACGATGGTTTTATCAACGAGCTCGGCTTTCGAGCTCGAAGATCACGGTTTCTGGTCGGTGTGCAGGCCCGTTCGCTGGACCCTCTTCAGCTCCTATTTATTCGCTTTCGCCGCGTTTTGCCTCGGCTCGCGCGTTGCTCGCGCAATCTTCGCGCCGCTTTCATCGAGGCGTTTCGAAGATGAGAGGAGCAAGAACGTGGCAGAAATCTGTAGCTTCGAGATCATTTTCGTGTTAACGCACGTTGAATATCTGGCGGGTCGCTGTTACGGATCGTCGTCGCGTTCGATCATGTTTCAGCCGAGGCCGTGGCACTGGAACGATTCGAATTCGAAACGGCATTTTTTTATTTATCGAGTTTATTTATCGCCGCGAACCGATCTGCACGCCGACCGATGGCGGTGTTGTTTAAGTGTTTCAAGCTAACGTTTCAAGGAATCCTCGATCCGCCTAATTGCCGGAACGTGATAACCACTTTTAAGGCGCCGAAGTACGCCGAGAAATGCCGCTCTCCGTTGGAGCTCGGCTAGTCTGTTAATTATCTCCGATTGCGAGGCAAAACGGCCGCTTCCCGGAGCGACCGTCTCGTCTCGAGGAAAGTGTCACCTAGAGCGAATAATGCTCGCCGCGTGCCGCGCGCGACCGGATTTCTCGTTTAGACGGGCAGCCGCGTCCGATCCGCGAGGCGCTTCTTATCGGGACCTAATTGCAACCGGAGCATCAAAAGAGTCCTCGAGTGCTGTTCAACCGGCGCCGGAACGCGCGGCGTGCCGAGTCTCTTTCGTTCGTTCCGAGGACTCTTCAGCATCGCGGAAATTAGCGGAACAGCGTCGGAATCATCGTCGTTCGCTGATCGTTCAGCAATCGCGTTGCCGCAGCTTGCGAAGTTCTCGCGCGGGATAACCGAGCTCGCGAGCTCTCGTCGCGGAAACTTCGGAATTTCTGTTAGGCGACTCTGCGGCGGTGGACGATCTTCCGGAAAACATGATCGATATGGGACACGAAAAGAGATTCTATCGTTTTTTAGACATATCTTGGTTTAAAATTTTAACAAATTTTAATAACTGGCGATTTTTAAAAGCTTTATTGTTAGCGATAGACCGAGGAGTTTATGCGTTTACGATAAAAATTTGGAGGAGGAAAGATTGAAAGGCTGTCAGACCTATTGACACTCGAACGGGGTGGAACTTTTTTGACAAACGTGTGAGAAAGTATGTTTAGGTTTATTACGTATAATTTGATTTATCAATTTATTTAATATCTTTTTTAACGTACTCAGTCTTATATAGATTTTATTTTTATTAGTATAGACTTTAATTGGACACGCGAACATTTGAATTAAATTTGTTTGTGAATCAAATTTTAACTAAATTTAAATTAATTTCGAGAAGCTGAATATTCGTATCAAATAACAATATCCATATTATGGGTCCAAATGGACCCGAGTGTCCCGCTCTGCGAGTGTCAAGAAGGAAATAGACTCTTATTCGACTGCAGTTCGTTGCAATCGAGGTGCAGTAAATTCACCGCAATTTTTTTCCAACTTGTAAACAAAAATTAACAATACAGAAAAGAAGATACAATTATCCGCGTCTCGCGGCTCATTTTTAGATCGCCAACAATGATAAAAATTAGGCACAACTCTCGAATAATCGTATCCCCACTTCCCAAATTGCTCATTTTTGTTTACAAGCTGAACGAAAAATTAGAAAGAATTTCCTAGTCACCTTCCTATCAGTTTTATTTCGCAGAAATATCCGCGATCTATCGATCAACGACGCGGACTTCAACTCAACTTCGCCAAGGTCCCGAAGACAAATTGATCATCGTAGATGGTTCGATCGCAAATTGCACCTCCGCGCCGCTTTCTTCGAGCGTCGTAGGCGCGGTCACATGATCGCCGAAGTCCGGCGTCTTTAACCTTCACCCAGGTGAAAGTTCAGAAGCTCGTTCGACTGCTACGGGCAATGACGCGCCGCGGCTGCCTTTCACGAGGATCTAGTTCCGAGTGAAACGCGCAGCCCGATCTCCGCGGCCGCGATCAGTCGCGGTGCACGCGGTTTTGCATACCTTTGTGACACCGCCGGAGCCAGATCTGTGCATGCATCTAGTCCATTGTTTTCGATGGGTTACGCTGTGTCGGCCGTGGCACCACGGGGAACAGTCTGTTGGACGAAACCGACGATACTTAACGATTAACCCTTTCGGCACGAGCGCCGGATATATCCGGCATCCATTTGATGACCAATATGGACGAGTGCCGAATACATCTGGCATCCATGCGAGCCATATTTCTGACATATTAGAAATCATTCTAATAACCGTTCGAGTCCCAAGCAGCGCTATATCACGCTGTTTGGCATTTTTCGACCGTGTTTTCTGAATAATCCCTGGGACTCATACGAATAAAGTCTTTTCTTACAAGGATTCCGAAAAATACAGCTACAGGTATAATTGTCGTCTGATCTGAATTGATTTAAAAAATTTCAGGTTACATTTTTCTTCGAAACTTGTTCATAGATTTTAACATATTGCAGACCCTTTACAAAATGTTTACAGGAAATAAAAAATTTAGAAACGGATTAAGTACAGTCATTGCTTAACGCTCAAGAAAATCTTCGTACAAAAGCGGACTGACCATGCGTTATGTGCGCATTTTCGGCGCGGCATCCCGAACAATGGGAGTGTCACGGTGGACAGCGCGCTCATACCGAAAGGGTTAAAGATAGTCGCGGGTCTCGTTTTCGAGTCAGCGCGACGGTCCAGAAGTTGAACTCGCGTGGCGTTCGCGCGGATTCGCTCGTTGCCGGATCGCCAGCTCAGCAAACGTTCGCGGACGAAGAACGTTCTTTCTCCGGAACCGTGATCTCGTTCGACTCTGTCCGATAGAATCGACGGCGGGTCGTTCGAAAGCATTGAAAGTTCTAAAAGTTCTAGCAGGCCTCTGTCACGAAACGCACCGTGCCAAAGTTTCAGCGAAATTCCAGCGGCTCTTCCCGGGCTCCTCATCAACGTCACAGTCCACACGTGTCTAGTGTACATAGATATAGTCAATATATTCAACTAGATCCAACTAGTCAATACTTTCAGACCTCGAGGATGTTTCCTTTTTTAGAACTTTGAACACTTTCAACGAAGTTTCCGCAATCGTTCAGAATTCAAGCTTCGAAAGCGTTCCAAATTAGTCGGATTTAGGATCGTTTATTATACAGAAGGGGTCCCAAAATTATGGCATTTCCGAGAAATGAGGGATTCCTGAGGTGATCCGAAGCATCTTTTTCCTTTGCAAGAATTTTCTCCGAGGCGTCGTTAACGAATTATTCGTGAAAAACACTGACCAATGAGCGGAGTCGAGCTCCGTGCGCTCGCCTTCCATTGGTCTGGTAATAGGAGGTTCCTCGGGTCATTTGAAGAAACTTTTTCCTTAGCGAAAATGCGATTCGAGTCTTCGTTTACGAGTTATTAAGGAAAAACGTGGACCAATCGGAGAGCGAGTGCGCCCGGCGCTCCGCCTCGCGGCCGATGCCGCGTCGCGCTGGCCGTCTGACGCAGCGGCAGTAGTCGCGAGGGCGGGGCATCAGGCGTACGCGATCTCTCGTTGGTCAGCGTTTTTCGTTAATAACTCGTAAACAAAGCCGCGGATTGCATTTTCGCTGAGGAAAAAGTTACTTCAAATAACCTAAGGAACCTCTCATTTCGCGGAAATACCATGATTTTGGGACATCCTGCAGATTCGAAGCTGTGGGTCTCTCAGAATCGTCCGGATTTGATATTTCAGAATATTTCACATTAATTTCGAAACTTCAGCACCATCTAAATCGCATTTAGATCGAAAATTATGGAACTGTTTTCACATTTGAAACCTTGAAACGTTCCGAATCCTCTCGATTAGAAAAATCCTCCTGCTCTCGGAAATGTCCAAAAAGCCTTCGAAAAATCGTAGCTTTGCGTAAAAATGTCTTAATTTCGAGCCTGGAACACGACCGAACGAAAAATCTCGAACGCCGCGGCAAGCGAAGGGCGTCTTTGCAAATGAAAGCGTTCTGAAAAGTGCGAGCAGCCTCCCCCAAAGATACGCGTTCCGGCCTGGCACGGGGCGGCGGCAATAAACCGTGGCCGCCTGACACGTTGATAACCGGCGTGATCACAGGCTGAAATATAACCGGCGGATATATATAGGTAATAAAATGTTAACGCGTTCGCATTCACGGTTCTGGTACGGTCATCGGCGCGAGTCACCTGCGTATCGTTTCGTGCATAGCTCTCGGGGCTCGCGTACGGAGTAATCTTCAACTTCTTCTACTTTTATAGCGTTGCCTGGCAAATGGTTATGCATAACTTGGTATATTGCAGATACGTAAAAATAAGTGGAGCGTACAAGCTTAAGAGAGACGCTCATTGTTAAGAAATACGCAGTAACCGGTGCTGCCAAGCCATAAAACACATCGACTCGCCCCCTCTGTCTCGCATACGTCCCTCGCCCACCTCCCGCACACACCCGCCCCACCATCGTCCCCCTACATTTTTTATGGATTTATTTATTATTTTATACGCATAAGTGCGACGGAGTGGCTGTTTCCTGCGGAATAGCCGATCGACATCGTCGGTCGTTGAAACTCGACGCGCTGATTGTGGATGTTTCTCTTCTTTTCTCTTCTTTCTCTTTCTTTTTTTTTATGTGCTACGTCGCGTGATGGATGTAAATATACGATTCGTTTGTAAATAGAGGTGCGTTTTTATTTCTCCCGGCATTGCCTTCGCTACGAGTGATAATGATAACGCCTAGATTTACGGAGCCGAAAAAATAATATTAGTCTCATATTAGCTTGTAAAAGTAACGATGAGACGTTTATACTGATTTTTGAGGAGTGTTATTGTAATCTTTGCGGTAAGTAACATATTAATTGAATAAATAACTCGTAAATGTATCTTCGCGATACGAATGATCGTAAATTAAAATATTAATGACCCGCCATTTTGACGGGTTCCGTAAATCTAGTGTTAACAAAGGTATCACATGATATGTATAAAAACGTAAAAAAATAACAATAATTCAATTCAATGTGTTGTTATAGGCTGGGACTCAAATAGTCCCACCGTGCTACGTGGGTTCACGAATGCGCATGCAGTTATTGCAATATTTCGCGGTGAGTTTAAAAATGTCCCACGTAGCGTAAATGTCCCAAAAACGTAAAAAAGTAACAATAGTTCAATTCAATTTGTTGCTATATGCTGAGACTCAAATAGTCCCACCGTGCCACGTGGGTTCACGAATGCGCATGCAGTTATTGCAATATTTCGCGGTGAGTTTAAAAATGTCCCACGTAGCGTAAATGTCCCAAAAACGTAAAAAAGTAACAATAGTTCAATTCAATTTGTTGCTATATGCTGAGACTCAAATAGTCCCACCGTGCCACGTGGGTTCACGAATGCGCATGCAGTTATTGCAATATTTCGCGGTGAGTTTAAAAATGTCCCACGTAGCGTAAATGTCCCAAAAACGTAAAAAAGTAACAATAGTTCAATTCAATTTGTTGCTATATGCTGAGACTCAAATAGTCCCACCGTGCCACGTGGGTTCACGAATGCGCATGCAGTTATTGCAATATTTCGCGGTGAGTTTAAAAATGTCCCACGTAGCGTAAATGTCCCAAAAACGTAAAAAAGTAACAATAGTTCAATTCAATTTGTTGCTATATGCTGAGACTCAAATAGTCCCACCGTGCCACGTGGGTTCACGAATGCGCATGCAGTTATTGCAATATTTCGCGGTGAGTTTAAAAATGTCCCACGTAGCGTAAATGTCCCAAAAACGTAAAAAAGTAACAATAGTTCAATTCAATTTGTTGCTATATGCTGAGACTCAAATAGTCCCACCGTGCCACGTGGGTTCACGAATGCGCATGCAGTTATTGCAATATTTCGCGGTGAGTTTAAAAATGTCCCACGTAGCGTAAATGTCCCAAAAACGTAAAAAAGTAACAATAGTTCAATTCAATTTGTTGCTATATGCTGAGACTCAAATAGTCCCACCGTGCCACGTGGGTTCACGAATGCGCATGCAGTTATTGCAATATTTCGCGGTGAGTTTAAAAATGTCCCACGTAGCGTAAATGTCCCAAAAACGTAAAAAAGTAACAATAGTTCAATTCAATTTGTTGCTATATGCTGAGACTCAAATAGTCCCACCGTGCCACGTGGGTTCACGAATGCGCATGCAGTTATTGCAATATTTCGCGGTGAGTTTAAAAATGTCCCACGTAGCGTAAATGTCCCAAAAACGTAAAAAAGTAACAATAGTTCAATTCAATTTGTTGCTATATGCTGAGACTCAAATAGTCCCACCGTGCCACGTGGGTTCACGAATGCGC